GAAGGGACTAAGTAGCAAAAGTCAAATGACTACACTCTTTCAACCCCTAAATTCTAAATATCAGTAAGAATGCTCAACTAGGCAGTCTAAGCCTATCCATGTTCCTATTCAGTTTGCATCTTTATTTTAGTATGTCAGAAAAATTCTCAGATTAAAATTATAATGGAATGGAGGTTGAGTTTTGATTGTCAGGAAGACAATTTAAAAGACTACATTATTTTAAGAAGATTATCTAGGAGCAATTTTCTGATGAATCAATACTAAAATTACATTTTGTTTTGTTTTGACTTTCACAACCACCGTACTTATAAAGCCATGTCTGCACTAGTAGGAGCACTAATTTTAGAATGAAATGCTTTGTCTCACAGTTATCCATATAAGGTGATAGGTATTCTCTGTTAAGAAGTTACTCACAGAAACAATATCTGCTTTGTATCAGAATATGCTTCCATATAGCTTGAGATCCACAGAAAAGTCCTGACCTATGAAATGGAAAATATTCTATTGACTTAGAATTTTGTCTTTTTAAAATATATATAAGCAAGTAAGTTGGGACTCAGAATTTGAGATGCTAGTTGAATTTGAAGTCCTGGTGTGGCCCTGTAGGATAAGCATTGGGCTGCTAACCACAAGGTCATCAATCCAAACCCACTAGCCACTCCTTAGAAGCCCTATACAGGCTCCCAGCTATGAGCTGGAACCGGACTCAGTGACACTTAGCAACAGTTGAACTTTACAATTGATGTGCCTACGTGTTTATAGAGAATTTCACCATAATTTTATTTCCTTTTAAATTTGATTTTCAAAAGTATTTGGTATAGTGAAATGGAATGTCGCCAACTGCACTGTAAAATAGAAAATCCCTTTAGTAAAGAATATATTATTTTTACATGCTTCACAGCTTATTTGTACTACTAAAGGTAATTAATATGTGATTATACAGTTATAACAGCGACCCAGCATGGGAATAAATGTTGAGCATAGTGTGGCGCTATAGGATAATGCACTGAACTGCAAGGTCAGTCTAAACCGCAAGGTCGGCAGTTCAAACCTACCAGTCATTCCTCAGAAACCCTATACAGGGTTGTAAGGGGTGAGAACCAACTCGACAGCACTTAACAACAATGGTGATTCTAAGCAAATTATTACCATATCCTACTTAATTATCTTTGCTTTGATAACTTTGTTTAAATTTATACATAGACATTTCCTATATATATTAGTATTTCTGTGATGTACAAAACTAGTTACCAAGGTAACATTTAGTACTACTGATACTACACTTAATTTTTTTATTTTGGTGTGTGAAAAAATGTATATGTTAAATAGCTTGAATATGTGTACATTACCAAAAAAAGTTAGTTTATGGTTTTTATGTGAAAGAAATAATTAGAGGACATCGGTTTAAATTAATAATAGTTCAAAGAAAATTTCAAATCATGTTTTGTTCATTATGGAAGTAAATTTTCAGTAATAGTTTTTTAAAAATGCTTGCAGATCCAACTTCTAACATAGAGCAACCAAGTGAAAATTAGAATGATTACAGGTATTTTTTCTAAATGTAGTGAAAAAAAAATATTTAATTTTTTGTTCCTTAAAGAAGAAAATTATTTGTTACTTACTGTCCGTTTGATGAATATTCAAGTGATTCATTTACTAGTATGCCAGAGAGCTACATTTCAGAGAATATTCAACCTTGTAGGTTGCATATAATCCAACACAGGAGATTAAACTAGAAAGATTAGAAGGGAACAAGTCTTGTTCTACCCCTGGAATGTTAGTCCCTGGGTATTAATATCTCAGTTAAGAAACCACATTTTGTATTGTGGATTGTTTTTTCAGGAGGCACTGTTAATTTAAGCACAGCCCGCAAGGAAATAGTGACTCAGAGGTTGGAAGTGTAAGTAACTAGCCACTCCTTGAAATCTCTGTACAGAGTCATTATGAGGCGGAACCGACTTGATGGCACTTAACAATGTATTCCTATAGTCATAACATGTAAATATTGTTGTTGTTGTAGTTGTTGCTAAGTGCTCTGGAGTTGGTTCTGACTCATAGTGACCCTTTATAGGGTTTCTAAGGAGCGTCTGGTGAGTTTGAACCACTGACCTTATGGTTAAAACCAACATTGCAGTCCAGCGCATTAAACCGCAATTGATGTTTGTTGTTAGGTGTCGTCAGTACCGACTCATAGCGACCCTGTGCACAACAGACTGAAACACTGCCCAGTCCTGGGCCAACCTCACAATTGTTGCCACGCTTGAGCCCATTGATGCTGCCACTTTGCCAATCCGTCTCACTGGGGCTCTTCCTCTTTTTCTCTGACCCTTCACCTTATCAGACATGATATTCTTCTCTCGCAACTGGTCCCTCCTGACAATATGTCCAAAGTATGAGAGACGAAGTTTGGCCATCCTGACCTCCAAGGAGCTCTCTGGCTGGACTTCTTCCAACACAGATCTGTTGGTTCTTTTGGCAGCCCATGGCACTTTCAATATTCTCCTCCAACACCATAACTCAAAAGCATCAATTCTTCTACAGTCTTCCTTATTCACTGTCCAGCTTTCACATGCATATGAGGTTATTGACAATACCATGGCTTGGATAAACCGCAATAATATTCTTTAAATTTCCCAAAAGGGAAGTTTTGATAATAACATTCAAATTTTAGAAAACTTCTTTTAATTCATACTTCTTAAGCCACGATGGATCTGAATCTAAAAAATTCAGCCCTGCAATTCTCACATACCTGCTTTTGTTTTCTATTCCTTCTTAACTTTAAGAAAGAACTTAATAACAAAGTAGTGTATAAAATGTTGCAAGGGATAATGAAAGCACTAGCTCCAGCTCTGTGTCTCATATTTCTTGATTTTCAGTGCTCTGTCCCCACCAGTTCCATATGACTGTGACTTTGGTAGCAGTGGGACAGAAATGGCAGCAACATAAATTCAAGGATTAGAGAAAATTGTGTGTATGGATGACACACAAGCAGCATATTTTCCAAAGAGGGTTAAGAGTAGAATAGAAGTTTTCAAAGTCCCGTTCTTGATCATTTTATGTAAGCTAAAGATCTGTTTAATTCCATTACTGTATCAGAAATGCTACTTTGTAAAATACTTCCTTCAAAACTCTGAGTGAAATATTGCAACATTGGAAGTTGTAATAGATTATTAAAATATTTCCAGCAGCTGTTTAAAATGAAGACGTGTTTATAACAAGAATATTTTAGAAAGTGTTTTTGCTGTTCCTGAAACCAGATGAATGAATTGTTCACTTTTAATTTCATAGAACATAATTTCTCATGAATTAGAAGAGCTTAAGAATTGATACTCTTGGGTGTCACCAGCTTAGCTCCTAGGGAATCATTTTAGCTTTCTACTACTTCCTGGTGTGGTGCTGTGGGTTAATGTGCTGGACTACAAAGTTGGTTTGAACTGCAAGGGCAACAGTTCAAGCTCACCACCTGCTCCTCAGAAACCCTAAACAGAGTCACTATGGGTCCGAACCAACTCAATGGCACCTAACAACAACAACAACTACTTTCTATATTTGAAATCCTGTCAGTTGTCCTCTAATAGAATGCAAAAGAGAGCAGTTTTCTGAGCTCCGTTTTAGTAAGTGTTTTAATGGCTTTCAGAGGAAACAAGATGTAAGTCCTTCATTGCAATACAAAATAGAGCCCAGAACCTGAAAGTCTGAATAATTTTGTTTAACTAAGTTGATACTGTTATTGTTTTTGTTGTTAATTTTCAAAAGAAGAAGCTTATTTGTAGACCTATGGGATAAATTCTTGAACTAGTATCAAGAAAATGGTTATATCAAAGAACAGTTTTCTTCAAGCAACCATGTAGAAATTTTCTTATTTGAGTGCATATCCATTTGTACTCCCACTTTATTTTGATTTTTCACTAAGCTATTTTGTATCATAAAAGGCAAATGTTTAAAGTCCTATTTTATTTTGTCTTTCAACATCTTTTTAGTTTTTTGTTGTTTTATTTTTGGCGGTGGCAGGGGCTTCAAAATGGTTTATATCTATTTTTATAGGAGTTTCTTGATTTTATTTACCATTTTACAAAGGGTTTATTCTGTTGAGATAGATATAGATCATGGTCATCCCCTGTAGACTCAAGATTAAATTGACCTTCCCATAATTATGAAAACAAATTCTTTGCAGGAGTATTCAGGAGGGCAAACTGGAATATACAAAATATATGATCTTGTAATGGAGTGTTTTTGTTTTTTTTTTAAATCGAAGTACAATAATTCCCCCCACCCCACGCCCACCCCTCCACCTTAGAATGCTGGTTTTAATCCCTCCTTAAAAGAGAAGGGAAATGGGAGCTACAGGGAGGAAGTAGGATGACTTGTTCCACTGTTCCACGGAGGGGAGTGCAGTCACTGAGATGAGACAGTATATGAATTGCTGAATGTAAAACTGATGATCTTGTCTGTATACTTTCATTCAATTCGCACACCAAAAAAGTGAAAAAAGAAAGAAAGAAAAGCCTATAGATTTGAAAGAACATAAAAATTTGATAGCATTTAATTATAGCAAAGTTTTTGCTGAACAACTTCATTTGAAGCCTTTTTGCACCTTCACAGTGATTCTTGAGGAAGCTAATATTAGCTATTCTTGATGCTATAGCAACTGAAGACTTAAAGCATAAGCATTCTATTAAAGGTACCAATTTATAGCAAATGTCATTACATGTTAATACTCTTTGATTCCTTAATGATTATGGGTATCAAATGTGAGTGATTCTCAACTGAATCACAGGGAGTCACGTACACAAAGTCAGATCTGATTCAAATGCCACTTTGAAGTATAAAGAGTGTCTCCCTAACACTTGTCTTTGTACTTTAAGCAAGAAGCAGAACAGATGTGAAAAAGAATTATGACAAAGACAATCTAATTTACATTTTAGAAATTTTAGGAAATGTCATCTTTTTTCCCCACTGGTTTCAGAGACTGTTTCAAATGTTTTAAACACAATTTTCAGATAACAGTAATGAAAAGCTGAGCCCCAAACCAGGAACAGGTGAACCTGTTTTAAGTTTGCACTACAGCACAGAAGGGACAACTACAAGCACAATAAAACTGAACTTTACAGATGAATGGTAAGTTACTGCTTTTGTAAAGATCTTCTTAACCGTTTTTAGCTTTTTATCCTCTTTATGTTCTTTTTTTGTTTTGCACTGGCTCTCAAACTGTAGTGTTCTTCAGAAGCACTGAGAAAATTTGTTAAAACACCAATTACTGAGCTCCGCTCACTCAGAGTTTTTACTTCAATGTTTTGGATTTGCATTTCTAACAAGTTTCCAGGTGATGCTGATGTGTCTGTTCAGATATTTTCTCTAATTGAAAATGTAAAAAAATTAATCAGTGTGCTGCACTGCAAAGTCGGTTTGAACTGCAAGGTCAAGCTCACCACCCACTTCTCAGAAACCCTATACAGGGTCACCATGGGTTGGAACTGACTCAACAGCACTTAAAAACAAGACTATTAATGCAAAAAATAACAAAACTAATAACATTTTGGAGCTTTTTCCAATATTGTTCCTATATGTAGGTATTATATGTAGGTATATGTATAATTTTTGTTCAAACCAAATGTACTTTTTTTTCCTTTGTTTGAACTTAGCTTTATAATAAATATTCCATGTTATTTATTTATTTTTCACTACTTACTACTTACTTCAGTAGCCACCCCCCAAAGTGAATGTTTCATAGTTTATATAACCATTTCCCTTTAATTGAGCAATGAAATTATCATTTTCTACCAGCTAAGATTATAATGCATATCTTTGTTTACAAAGCTTTTCCCTCCATTCAAGATTATTTCCCTGAGATATATTTACAGAAATGAACAATACTTAGGTCAAAAGATGTTGTCAAATTGTTTTCAAATTTAAACCAGCATCATGTGAAGACATTTTTCTGTCTTCCAGGCCAATGTTTAATGTAATTTTTACAGGCATACCTTAAATGTATTATGGGTTTGGTTCCAGACCACTACAATAAAGTGAATAATGTAGTAAATTCAGTCAAGAATTTGTTTTCCTAGTGCATGTCAAAGTTATGGTTACACTCTTAAGTGTGCAATAGCATTATGAAAAAGTTTGAAATATTGTGAGATTTACCAAAATGTAACACAGAGACACAAAGTTGGAAAAATTTGGAAAATGTGCTGTTGGAATAATGGTGCTGATCTACTTGCTAGACGCAGGGCTACCACAAACCTTCAATTTGTAAAATACGCAGACTATGAAGCTCAGTAAAGCAAAGTATAGTAGAATGAAGTTTACCTGGATTTTCACTTATTTGTTCATTTGTAGGCTGACTTTATTTAATGGTTGTTAAGAGATTTCTTATTTATATATATATTATAGATATTGC